GATTTTCCCCCCAACGAAATATTTGGAGGAGGAAAAAAAAAAAAAAAAAAGCACATTATGGAACACAGGCTGGCTTACAGCCAGGGCTGGGGGGGAAAGCAGCGCAGAAACCCTCTGGTTTAGCAGCACATTTTACTCCTGCTCTATGGCAGAGCAAGCTTTTGCAAAGCCCTAGCCGTCTGAACCCGCGGCGCCGCAGTCTCAGCTTCCCTAAGGCGAATCAGTCAATTGGTTCAACAGTGTATTTAAAATCCCCCAGAGTCTACCTTTAAATCACCTTTATATTCCTCTACCCCAAGCTAATAGTTTCTACCTGCATTTTGCTTCATCTCCATAGAAAAACAAGCTATTTAGCAGTCACATTAATAATCCGCAGCAATCTGGTTGTCATTTCCCTGATGGAAAATTTCACACTGCTGCCCAGCAGCAGCGACACGGTGAGTGCTATGTGCACCTCCGACCGCTCGGCTTTCCTCCCACCAAACCCAGCAGCCACGAGAAAGGCAAGAGTGGGGAGGCCAGGTGGGGAGGATGGACAGAAAGCACCGAGCGAAGGCCGGCCAGGCGTACCTACTGCTCCTGCAGGCACGGGAACCACGAGGAAGCAACCTGCTGCTGAGCGAGAAAGTCAGCAAGCTCATGTCAGAAGGAGCGTAGAGGAAACCCAGCTCCTGAAACACCAGCCATACGATGGTAAAATATTTGTTGACGATGGCTTTACTGTGGAAGGTGGTCTACGGAGAGGAACTTTGGGATGGAATGTCCCAAGGTAGGAAACGAGCTCCTGGGGACACGAACTACCTTTGCTATGTGCATCCAGCACCCTGGCCATAGGTGCCCAGTCTGGCCAGGTTGACTGATGGGTGAATGCAAATAAACAGCAAGAGGTAGGGGCCAGTGTTTTCAACACACTCCAAATTTCCTCTCATTTTGATGTGCCTTCAAACCACCACTTTCATCCTAAATATCCCAACCTGGCCTTCTGGGGTTGATGAGCCTGTTAAACACATGACTGTAAAAACTGTTTCAGTCTTCTAGGCATCTTCCATGGAGAAAAGCAGGTCTCTCCAGGATGACTGTCTCAAGGTGAGATGCAAAGCCTCCAGAGGAATATACTTCTCTCCCCTAGCTACAGCTGTCTGTCCAGGTCTGTCCCAGACCTGCTGAATCCCACCCGGCTGCTGGGGACAGATGGGAGGGCAGAAGCCTTCCTCCTCCCACAGTAACCACCAGCCCATCCGTCCTCTCACACAGTAGCTGCTAGCGTGTCCTCTCCCCTCTGGCAAGGTGCTGGTAAACAACACAAGACTTTTGACATGGCACCATAAAACATGTCCTGAAAGTATTTATCCTAATATAGCCTGGTGTGCCCAGGGTGGCCTCATGTGAAAAACCCAAGAGGTAAATATTCATTAAATAAGCAGAGAGCTTAATATAGAAAGTCATGGAGTCAAGTACTCTTTAAGCCCCCTCACGTCTTTGCAAACATCAGCCAATGAAGATAAATTTGGCACGGTTGATCACTTGCACTTTTAGGAAAGGCTCTTCTAAAAGAAAAAAAAAAAAAAATCACGTTTCAGTGTTTATAATCTCTGCAGAAAGGCCTGGTCCAGCATTTCTCCCCTCTAATTCGTGCTCTCAGAACTGTCAGATTATGAAACTGCAGACTATAAGCCTCCCGAGTTTACAGAAAAACACCTCTGCTCTCTGCCGCCACTTTGAGCAGATGAACTAATAAAAACAAGCTCCACTATTCACTCCAAACGCCTGGGAGAAAGGAATCTGGAACAGTAGTAGCTTCAAAATACCATCAAAGAAAGCAACCACCCACAGCGTCTGGAGTCCCCCCACGCTTATCAGCTCCCTTCACCTTGTTACCCGAAAACCACTGCAAAAATCTGTCTCTTCCCATCCTGGGCCAGGCCAGAGGCCAGCACCCCGCTGCCCTGTTTCCCCCGAGTGAAAGAATTAAGGAGCTGTGTTGCCCTTCGGGTGTTTGATGATGGGAGCTTGCTCAGCCACCCATCCCTGGTGGGACGGTCCCTGGTACACGCACAGGAGCCTACACCAGCGTCACCCAAAGATGCTCCTGATAAAGGGCAACAAGCTTTGACGATCCGCCCCTCGGACAGTGGCAAAGGCACAGCGGATCTGCTCTCACCTCTCAGCCAAAGGAGGAATAAATCTGTTTATTGGTTTCCTGAGCCACCTCCCCCCAGGTTCTTAGGAGATGATCTTCCCAACATTATTAAATAAAGGTGGAATCACTCAAGGTTCCCCGCAGAGCTCTCACCAAGGGCACCACAGGAAGGTGAAACCTGCAGGACTTCAGAGCGTGTCGCTGTTTGATGTGTACTGAAAACAACGGTTAGGCAGCCAGACTGTGTTGGGACGTCAGGGAGAAGGCGCTGGCTGGAAGGGACACATTTAGCACAGCCATGTCTCCCTGGTGTTCAGTCATTGAGGCATTAATGCCATGGGAGGACACAGGAATTTGGAGCTGGTCTGCAGCCGCCACCGCTGCCACTGGGAGCTGTGGGAGAAACGCCCCTGCGTGCAACTGCGAGTGACTCTGCAAATACAAAACGTGCCGGGAAGGGAGAAAAGTAAACAGGCACGGCTTGAGATGCAAGGGAGTTCCCAGCACAGGCCGGCGCTGGGACGGGGTGGCCGTGTCTGTCTGGGAGGGGAGAGGTCTGACATCCCAGAAGGGCCATGCTGGGCTGGCCACTGGGAGCCCTCAAGCATCAGAGGAGTAAATAACAAGGTTTTGCAGGATCTCAGCATCCCCACTAATAAACTCTTCCCCCCCCAACGCACATGAAGCATGGGCCTGCAGCACCAAGCCCTCCCGTGCCTGCGGCAGGACCAAGGGCACCGCGCCGGGCGTGCTGCCAGCGGTGGCCACAAAACCTCCATGAGAGCAGACTGCGCAAAAGCCTCTCGAAAAGCAGAGCTCTTGTCATCCTTATGGAGACGTTTCAAGAGGAACGTGGCAACTCCTTTTCTTAATGACTATATATAGGGAAAAGCTCTGCTAGGTGACAAGCGTGTGAGAGGCTGGAGCAGAGGCAGCCTCTCGCCTGCAAGGACTCAGATAATCGAGTGGAGGAATAGCCAGCAATGAGTCTATTTTGGACTCAGCGTGCTGTTGCTGGAGTGTTCGCTGAGGAGGCAAAGGCATTTGTTACCTCCTCTCCAGGGACTGCAAATTCAATAGACTTCCCTGCCTGCAGCTGCACCGACCTCAGTGCCCGCAGCCACCGGCAGGGCCAGGAGGGCTGCGGGGCTGGCACAAACCCCGCGACAAACGGCTGCTCCCTCTCCCTGGCCCCTGCACCACAGAAACCAGCCACGCATGGTGCTGCCTGTGTGACGGCGGTCTCGGCACGGCGATGAGCATCCCTGGCGAGGCCGGGATGCAGGAGCTGACGCAGCCGGGTACCAGCCAGGGTGATCGCTGCCTGCCTCTGCCTGTGAGCTGGATGCAGGCTCAGAGGAGAAAAATAAACCTTGCCCTGTCCTGGGGCCCTTCCTACAGCACCTCTTGCCCCAAACCATCCCATTGGCAGCCAGATTTGGACCCATAACACCACCCGCATCCCCGCTGCACCGGGAGGTGCTGGGGCAGCACTCACCTGCTCGTGGTACTCGATCCCCATGCTGAGCGTGTTGATGAGAATGGCCACCATGATCCCACGGCCAAAATATTTGCTGTCCACGATCTTCCGGAAGGTCTCACACACCACGTGCCAGAAGGCCAGCACCCGGCTCGCTCTCCTGGCCCGGGCTCTGCCCCGCTGCGGGTCCCGCTGGTCGCTGTAGTGGGCATCCTGCGTGAACTCGTAGACCCCCTCACTGTCCGAGTCGGCTGTCTCGTTGTCCGTCAGCTCGGCCTCGCTCGCCAGCGCCTTGAGGCAGTAAGGGCAGCTCTCCGGGTTGCAGGAGCCACTGTCCAGCTTGGTGCAGGGGCTGGAGATCTTGCAGGAGCTTTGGCAGGGACCTGAAATGCCAGCAAGGCAGGAGCAGGGCAGCCCATCAGCCAGGGTGGGGGAGCAGCCCCCAGTCCCTGTTAGCTCTGAGCTGTTGTCCTTGACAGGACAGGTATTTCCTAAGGGAAAAAGGGCTCCTGCTGGGTCCAAGAGCCCTAGGCAAAACCTGGGCTCCCCGGGTGCCTTCTCCCTGGTTACAAAGCCCTTTTTGCTGCCCCCAGGCAGACCCTGCCACCAGCTGAGGACGCCTAGCCCACCTCATTATACCTCTGGCCATTATGGCTGGGAGAAAGCAATCAGCTCCCCTGGCCGGCTCTGGGCTGTAATTAGCAGGAGTGTGCTGCCAGCAGCCTCCTTTCCTGCTCCTGCTGTTTGCTGATGCTCCGAAATCACCAGCTTCCCCCTCCATGTGCTGCCCTCAGTGGCAGCTCCCAGCTGCCAGGTGGCTCCTGGGTGACACTACCAGCAGGATATTCCCCAAAAATCCTACCAGCTGGCTGCCAGGGAGAGGCTATCTGCAAAGCGTGCTCCTGACTCACGCCCAGCAGCACGAATCCCCTGCGCCAAACCATCTCAGAGCCCAGCTCTGTATTTAGTCTCTGGGCTGGGGGCAGGACTTGGGCGCTTCCCTGCCCAGCTCCTGGCTGGAAAGGTCAGTGCCACTGCAGAAGGGTGGAAAAGGCACCGACTGCATGAGAAAGCTGGGCCAGAAATGCTTCTTGGTGGCTGAGAGGATTTGGACTAGACTGGCCTGAGCTTCCAAACCTCAGGATGTGGAGGGGGAAAGAGCATCTTGCGGTGAAGGTACGAAACCCCAATCCAGGAAAGCTGCATTCGGTGTCTGGCTCCGTTACAGGCTTCCCAAGCAAATCACTCCAGGCAGATTTTTAGTACTTAGCATCTGCAATTGCCATTGAGCACTCATGCAAAGCAGACACTCAATCTCCCCGAGCCTCAGGTCCTGCGGGGAGCGGAGCTACGCAGTGCTCAGGGATGAGCTGGGACTTAGATCTGGAAGGTGTCCATCCCTGAGCTCTGCAGCAAGCGGTGGGCAACGCAGCCACCTCCAGCCCCTGTGTTTTAGCAAAGAAGGGACGTGGCCATTTGCAAGCAGCCAGGCTGGGCTCCACCTCTGCTCGGTGTCACCGAGCCTGGTTCTTGTTGATTTGGGGAGTACAGGGATTTGGGGAGTGTTCCCTGCAATTGCAGAGTAAGTTTGACTGGGAGGAGATGGGGATGGGAAAGAAGATGGGTTCATTAAAACATTAATTTCCCTTGGATTTTTGCAAGTATGAAGTCGGGAAGGTTGAAACCTCTCTCCTGGTTTTGGCTATAAGATGCCTTAGGTACATCAGAAGATTCATGTTGGCCTCACCTGGAAAGCCATCGCCTTTCTCCGTAACATGGACTGAAAAGAACCCTGCAAAGATTCAGAAGGAGAAAGAAATTAGGTCGTAGCTTCTATTTCTGCAAGACAACCGCAGACCAAGACCCAGCCCCAGGCTCACCCGTACTCTGCGTCTCCAGAAGCTTGTGCATGGTGCTGTATGGCCCGGGCGGGATGTTGAGGCTCGTCAAGGTGCTGCTCCCAGCACCAACTGCCGCCTCCCCCAGACTCTTCTCTTTCAGCATCTCATGGGAGGTACTGGGGTGCACCGTGGGGTACACCTTGCTGCCCACAATGTTCTTGGGGATCCCCTCCGGGCTTGGCAAGCTGAGGCCTGGCTGCGGGAGGGCTGAGCGGCAGCGCACCGGCTCGAAGTGGCAGTCAGCATGGTAGATGCTGTGGACAGACTCGGTGTTGCTGGGAGCAGCACTGGGGGCCCCATGGGGGTTCGGTGCCGAGGGGGGGAGCATCAGCCGGTTGGTCCCATTGTGGAGCGAGCTGGTCTCCACATCACTGATCTCTGGGCTGGCGCGGGGTGCCCGCAGGTTCCCATTGCCCAGGTGATAGTGGTGGTGGTGGTGGTGATGGTGGTGGATGAGGTGGTGCACAGAGGACCTCTTCCTGCTCCGGCGCTTCCCAGAGTGCCGGTCGGCCCCTGTCTTGCTCGCGGGGCTGGTGAGGAAGCCCATCCTTACGCCCGCCACCCGGTAGACCTCCACAAGCTGCTTGCTGCCTTTCCGGGCAATGTAAACCAGGTACTTGAGGAGTTCATCATAGCAGCTGCCTGGCTCTGAAAAGCTGGCGAGAGTGCTGGCGTTGGACAGGTAGCGCACCCGCTGCTCCTTCATCAGCTGGCTCTCGCGCTGCTTTGTCTCGGAGAACTGCGTTGCTATCACCACAAGGCAGAGGTTGATCATGAAGAAGGAGCCCACCTAAGGAGACAGGAGTCATCAGCAACCTTGGGGTGGCCATGCCCACCCCATAGCCCTGCCTCGCCCCACACCCCGCCGCAAGGAGTGGGGGGCAAACCCCAGCCAGCCCCATCTCCTGCGTCACCCAGCAGGGACCACCAGCCAGGACATGGAGGGGCTGATGCCTCCCGAGCCCCTACCCTGGGGACTCCCATGCCAGCACTCCATGGAGGACGTCAGACATCAAAGACACAAGAAGATTGTTTTGACAAAAAGCTTTTGCTCTTTTAAGATGGTGTTTTTCTCTCTCCACAGACAGCGGTTGTAATTATCACAATTAGTGGCATTACGATGAATGCACTGAGTCGTCCTGATAGGAGCGTTTTTTCTGGCAGTGTGTGGGCAGCTTGCGAGCAGATCCCTTTCCCCTGCTAACGGGATTTGCGGGTGACTGTTACGCAAGGGCATCAGCAGCCTGTACCCACAGCCTGGAGATTTTTATTTCCAACCAGGGTTTCATGAGGTTCTGCCTTCCGCAGAGCCCAGCCTGGATCACAGAGAATTACTGATGTGCTAATGGGCTATCACATGCCACTAACGTTAACTCACACGGCATCTGGAAAAGTACTGCTTGCCCTTCCTCTCCATTGTTTTTGGAATGCTGAGAGCCAGGGATTGTTTCTTTTTTGGGGGAAGCTAATAGGTGAACCAGAAAAAGCATCATGGACTAAATGACCTCCTACCTTCTCATCAGGGTTTGAGTCCTGGTTTGATGAGGAGCAGAAATCCCCACAATGGTCTAATGGACAACGTGCAGCTATTTTGCTGGACCTAGTCCAATTAGACAGCAAGAAAGGGACTCATCTCACTTATCTGAGCTACATCTGAGTGAGGCACCTAATGATCCTTTAGAGTCAAAAGAGAAATAGGCACATCAAGTCTGCAATGCATCTAATTTATTTTGGATGTCTACCTTCGGAAGAGATGAATCACCCCCTTAAAGCACCTATTTTTCTCCCTTGACGATAAAGGGAGTCTAGACAACGAGCTCAGCCAGTCACGGTAGACAATTCTGCTTGCCGAGATGAAGCCCATCATGGAGCCCACCCCACAGAAACTCTTTGTTGGGTCCTTTGTGGGTGGTCTCAGATGATGCTGTGAAGTGTGGGTGGGCTGTGGGCAGTAATCCTTTCCCTCCTTTCTTAATGTGCTCTCTGAAGTTTGGGACTGTTTTCCTGAAATGTCCCCTCTGCACCAAGAACCAGCTGGGTTCTTCTATATGGTGGAATCTCTGGGCAGCCTCCTCCCATTCCAGAGCTCAAAACCTGACCAGGAGAAAACTGCCTACTTTTAAACTTAATTCAAGTTGGCAACTAAGGAAGAGGACCTTGAGGCACAAAGAGACAAGTAGTAGAAACAGCAGCAACAGAAGTGCATCTACCATAGGTTAAGCACTTCTTTCCTTCCTTCCTTCACGTTTGCAGCAAAATGCAATGCGATGCAACGCCGCATCAAAGCTGCATGTCTTCCAGCAGGCTGGTTCCTACCCCTCCTACGTGGCACCAGCTTTTATATTCACTGTGCTGTCTGCCCTGTTCCTCTGGGTCACTCCACTCTGCCCTCCCCAAATGCCAGGAGACCCCATGTTCCCCTAAGGCCACTCACAATGATCAGGAGGATGAAGTAGATGAAGTTGTAGAAGGAATGTGCGTCCATGACAAAGTACATGATGTCCACCCAGCCTTCCAGTGTGATGACCTGGTGGAGACAGGAGGGGAAAACGAACCCGTCAAGGCTAAATTAAAACACCAAACGCACAAGCAACGTTTCTTCTGGCTGGGTCATTTCTGACACCCCATAGCTGGTCTTGGTGCAGCACAAGGCACTGAGGAACCAAATCTTGCTCCCAACAATGCCAATAGCCATGTTGCCAGCTGCCCCAGATGAATCCAGCCCTTCTTTTCCAGCTGGACCTAAGGCCCACTACTGCATTTTGCAAGAGGAAAGAGCAGGTTTTGTCCATGCACATGAGATGGAAGCATCTTCAAAGAAGGCACCAAATTGTACCCCTGACATTTTGAGCACCCATACACTACTATATAGGTGCCTTCTGGTGCAAAATAGGCCCCAGGAGTGTGATTACACAGCCCCTGGGAACATGTTGGGGGCACGACCGGCTGTTCCCCACCTTGTGACAGTTTGCACACAGGGCTCACCTGAAATATCGCAATCCAGGCATATCCAATGTTATCAAAGTTGATGGCTCCCTTGAAAGGGTTGTGCTCCCCAGCAGAGCAGTTGGTATAATACTGGTTCCAGTTGACACAGGACGTGTTGGTGGTGTCGTTGTAGGAATAATAATCCAGGGTGCACTCAAGACCCTCTTCCCTCCGTGTTGGGATACTCCGGCAGTAGCGCATCCCATTTTCCCGGGGCTGGGAGCAGATGAAGGGGTTCTCATCTTCATTCTCCGTCTGGTAATATCGCTCCAAATCCACCGTGTAGGGGCTGAAAGAGTCCAGACATGGCTGGGGCTTGCACACCGATCGCAGGCAATCTGGCAAGGTAACAACTGTAACAGCACAGTCTGGCATCTGTTATTCTGGATCTTAAAGCTTTTTTTTTTTTGAAAAGGGATCCCCTTAGACTTTCTGCAGCCCCTGTGGGTGAGATGATGTCCCTAACTGCGTTTTGAGAAACTGAGGCAGCACCCTCGGCCGCTCAGCAGCCCCGCTGACGGCATTACTAAGACTCCGTCTGGGAGCACTCGGGTGCTTGAGTTTGGGAGACTAACAGTGGGATTCGGGCCAGCAGGGCTTCTCTGAAATGTCTTTGCTGCAGTAAGATGGAAATCAGTCAGCTTAAGCTCCTGTACCTCCTGTCCTCCTGGGGATGCTGAGAATGGCTTGGGAAGACTCTACGTACGAGGACCTCCCAAGCTTCCTAAAATACAGAGACAGGGCCTTCATCTGCATTTCACAGTGCCTGTTCAGCCCATAGATAAGCTCTAAATTCCCTCTGAGGGTGGCCTTACCACAGCAAACCAGCAAAAACACTCTTCAGGGAGATGAAACAGCCGGTGGCCAGCCAGAAGCTGGCTTCTTGCTCTGCACACAGCTATCTCCTTAATGCTGCCAGGACTCCCACTAAAGCTTGCAAAGATATTTTTAAGCCTAGTTCAGCCTGGTTAATTCCTGCAGAATTGCCTTTAATACCCTTCAAAGCTTATCTAAACCCCTGGAATTCTGGCTCAATTAAACAGCACCCAAACCTGTGCCTCTGTTGGATTTTGTCAGTGGTGAAGCAGGTTCCCTGCTCTGCTGCCATTCACCTACCAGGGACATGCCCTGGTAATGACTCTCCCAACTGCCCTTTGAGGGCACGACCTACAAGAGGGGTGGGAGTCGATTTGGGGATGTGTGGGAGATGATATAAGGTGCATCGTGCCAGCTCCAGATGCAAGAGCCAGCTTCGCCACAACAGCATCATCACGGTCCTGCTGTGGGCAAGAGAGAGGCTTTGGGCTTGCAGGACTTCTCCATCCAGGTGTGGATCTAGCTGTATCAGCTCTGGGAAGTCAACATTTGAAAGCAATCCACTGAAAGGTGGCAGGGATGCCAGAGCTTGGCAGAGCAACCATCAAGGGCTTGCAGTAACCTGCCTTCTCCTAGCATTCGAAGGGAGGGAGGCCATGGAAAAAAGCAGGTAGGTAGGAGAACAGGTATGGAAATCCTGGTCTGGAAGAGGCTGACAGCTACCAGAACAGAGGGGTATTTCAACCATTGTTCAAACATTCCTACATCTGGCAAGCTGGTTGGCCAGGAAGCTGGGTGCTACAAAACCCCATTTGATCACAATAGTCCTCTTGGCCTCAAAATCCAGGGATTTGTGAAAAATAACACTTTGGGACAGGGACTATCTCTTGCTCTGAGACTGAAAAGCATCCTGAAATGTATGGTAGCTCCATCAGCCTTCCCTGGGGTTGAGGTGGGACTACAAATGCCGTACTAATAAACACCACTGGCTGCTGAATGGGTAGAAAAGGTCACGTGTTAATGATATGCTGAATTTAGAAAGCCTGAACTCTTATTCTCAGGGTTTTTTGGAGGCTCTTATCAATCAGAGAGGTTCCCAAGTGCCATCTGAGGGTTAAGGACAGCCCTGCAGGACTTGAATGGCAAATTGTCACAGCTCACTCTGTTCCAGCCGTGCGTGCCTGGGCAGGAGTTGTGGTGGCATTTAGGAGCAGGGAGCATTTACAGAAGACCAGGGCTTTTTAATGGAGGATATCCTTGTCTCCTGGAGGGATAGACTCGCCCGAGCTGGAGAGACACTTCTGCTGCCTACACAGACTCACATGCTGAAGTTCTCAGGGAGGAAGCAGCGGTTCCTGAGCAAACCTGCCCACAGCTGGACTCCCACGATGCCGAAGATGAAGAAGACGAAGAAGCAGAGGAGGAGGACGTTCCCCAGCATGGGCAGTGTGTCCAAAAGGAGCGTCACCAGGATGCGCATACCTGAGGTGAAGAGGGAGCGGTCAGGGAAAACTCCAGAGTGAATTTTCTTAATCCAGCTATGTCCTCCTGACATTTTCCTTTCCATCCATACTTTTCCTGCCACCGACAGCTGCTGCCTTCCCAACCACTGTCCTTGTCACCCACACATGGCTTGCAACCCCCCCCTCCCCCCAGTTCCCCAGTCCCCTCTGGTTTCCCCCCAAGCCCCTGGGATACCCCCTTTGCCCATGCCCTGCTCCTGGGCACAGGACCTGCCTTCCCTGCTCCTCTCCGTTTGCTCCCCATCTCAAGTCCTCTCCTCCTCCCAAAGTTTTCCAGCAATTATATGTCTCCTTTCTTCCCTGACACCAAACTCTGATGTCCTCCCTTGCTCAGTCTTATTTCTTTCCCCACTCAGTATATATTAAAATTCCCTTCCCTCCCTAATTCCCCTCATCTACCCTAAATCCCCTCTCTTCCTTAAAATACAGGACTCTCTCTGGCAGTTAATTCTCACAAGTCCAGGAACAGCCAGTTCTGTAACAAAGACAAATTGATGGTGACTTCAACTTGACATTTACACACAAAAAAATTGATTTCATCTGACGTCTCTGTAATATTCTGCTCATCTCGCTCTCCTTCTTTCCCCATCTTCTGCATTCTCTCACTCGCTTATATTGATTTTCATTTAAAGAAAGCTTTACTGTTGCACCCTTTGCTTTGATACTTCAAGACGACTTTTTTCTCTCTTCCTGATGCTGTCACCTCCTCTACCATGGTTTTTTTGTTTTTTCTACTCCTCTGCTGGGGAGCAACCACCTTGCGTCAACTCCTAATTAACTGAAATTACTTTCTGTGGTTACTGCATTTATCATCAAACAAAACTCCTTTTTTTTTTCTTTTCCCACCTTACATTTCTATCCCATTGTAACTACGTTGTGGAGAAGCCAAGATAAATTACCTGGGATTTCAAAATACTTTAAGTGAATTACATCCCCAGTTAGACAGTGGCAGATAAATTCAGCCATCCATCAGTTCAGCAGCGGGGATAAAAAAAAAACATTGCAAACAGCATTCTAAAGCTACCATAACGATTGAAACAGCAGCAGCAGCAAAGCCAGATGAAGTTCAAGAGACAGGACCAGAAAAATAAACAGAGCCCAGGCACCTCCAGCATCGGCGGACAGAACTGAAGCTGATTAGTTCTTGTCAAGGCATTGGGCTGCTTCAGATAGCAGAGTTGGGACTTGGATTTAATCTGGCTAAAACAACACTGGATTCGATACCCAGGATTATAGGAGCAGGAGAATGATGTTTCTAATGGAGCGGTACCTACACTTATCACACCCGATCTGCACAGCGTCCAGGAGGGACGGAGCTCAGCGTCTCTCAAGCACTCCGGGTTTTGCCCAGCACGGCACAGCAGGAGTGGCTCCCTGGGCACTTTGGTTGGGTTTGCGATGGCCAATGCCTCTCTGGGCACGGGGCTGTGTTGCCGTCACCTGCTGCCATGCCAGAGCAGGCAATGCCACCCGTTGCTGGTCAAAGGGGGGGTCTGAGATCCTCGTGCAGGACCTGATAAACCAGCACTGAATAGCCATCTCCCATCCCACCCAGGCTTGCTTTGGAGGTGTTGGGGTTTGGAGCTGTACGGACCAGCTCTGGGGAGCAGAGCAAGAGCTGCTCCAAGAGGAGGCTCCTCAGCACCTTCCAGGGGGCTGTCACCAGGCATGACAAGATTTCCTCACCCAGGTTTCTCCAGGAAAGGATGGGGTAGAGCAGGGAGGGTGGGAGCAGCATGGCTCTGACCCCTCTGCCCATGCTGCCTGGCAAAGGCTGTTGGCTCAGTCAATCCCCATCACCTGCATCCCTCCATCTTAGCAGCCTCCTAAGACCCCTTTCAGATGAGAAAGGCAGTTCTGGATATCTTATTGACTGGGCTTATCTCTGATGCCACGGGTGTCAAAAGGAATATTATTTAAAGTAGGAGACTGCCAGGCACTGGAACCCAAAGAGCGGTGGTAGCACCTCACACTACCAGGGCCTGGCTGAACGCTTGAGCTGCAATGTCAGATGGGAAGCATCTGCGTTTGCTCTTCCATCTTTCGGGCACAGATATAAAGAACTTGCATCAACTGGGAGGAATAAGGAGCCGACTTACTGGGGACCCTGTTAATGGCCCTGAGCGGCCGCAGGACGCGGACGGTGCGGACCGCTGAGAAGCTGACATTCTGCAGGTCCAGGGAGTACTCCAGCATCCTGCAAAAGACATGAATGTGGAGGAGTGTCAAAGATCTTCTGAAGAAACGTTAGATTATCAAACATTATAAATCAAACATTATATGCCAGCCGCTTGGAGGAACTTGTTACTGCATCTCTCCAATCAGGAAAGTTTGCCAGAGGAATTAATTAAGGGTTGTTTGTGTATCAGAATAAAGTCAATGAGCAAGAACGTGATATACCAGCACACACAGCCACAGATCTTCTCTCTCATCTGCTTTAGTTACTGTTTTTGCACAGGTCCAGGGCAGAAGCTTCTGAAAGTCCCTGCACACTCCAGGAGGGCAATTCCCAGACACAGCCCTGGTTTTAGCAACAATTGTATGTGAAACTGGGTTCATGGCACTGAGCGCCACCACAACCCTGAAAAGCAGAGGAGCATCCCCTGGGGCAGACCCTTTCTGCAGGAGGCAAGCAGTGCAGGACACTGCTCTGTGCCAGCTCGACCCAGCAGAGATCACTGGCAGGTGGGACTCAGGTGGACAGGCAAGCACACAAATCGAAACTGATGACACTTTTAGATAGCAAACAGGGCAAACGTGGGCCAAGGAACCTCCCAGTGCTCCTACACTATGCCTGATGGGGTTATTCCACAGCTCAGGACACTTGTCACACTTGTGACTTAGCCTGAGCATGCACTTGGACTGCCGCAAGTCCCGGGGGTGCCCCAGCCACCATCTCACCCTGCTCACGGTACCTTTGCTCAAGCACAGCAGGGCCATCAGTCACATTAACCACCAGTACTTTGCTCTCCAGCCACAGGAAAACACAAGCTCTCTGCCCAAAAGCATTCTTGAAGAGGCAGAGCCAGGCAAAGTCAAGGAAGAGGACCATGAGGCTCCCCACACAGCCGGGCTCCCGCTGCCACAGGCAACCACAGGATATTAATCTCTTCCGAAAATTATCAAGTTCCATCTTAAAGCTAGTTGGGTGGTTGGACGCCTCACTTCCAGCCTGAATTTATTCAGGACAAGCTCATAGCCATTTCTTCCTATGCCAGTGCTGTCTTTAAAGTAGCTTCTATAGCTCTTTGTCCCTGGTGTTTACTCACCCAATGTATTTACAGAGGACAAATCACATCTCCTCTCAGCCTTAATTTTGCAAAGCCAAACAAACCAAGCCCTTCCAGCCTCGTCTCGCAGACAGGCTCTCTGCTTCCCAGTCGCAACCTTTCTCTGCACCTGCCCTGGCCTGAATTAATCGCATCGGATCAGACATCAAGTTTCTGGAGGAGGCTTCGCTGGCGCCTCGCACAAAGGCATCAGTGCTGTCCCCCCTGGAAATCCCGCAGGATCCGTCAGTGCCGTGTTGGCTTTGCCACGGCTGCAGCATGCTGGAGGTCTCTGCTCTTGCTGCCATCAGCCAAACCCTCCCTCCTCCCTCCCAGCCATTGGCTGGGGGGGGACACCCACCGGGGGGGAGGGCTTCTCTTTT